TGCATATTTCTACATTACTATTCATTGTTATACATATGGTTATTTATTTAATTTCATGTTTAATATTAAATAATATAATTTAATATAAAATAATTTTGACATTACTACTACTGCTTTGATTAATAATACAGATCGCTTGTCGACGCCCATCTCGGAAGACTGCCAACGTCCACCGCAACCGGTGACACCACAAGCACCGACACTGACCACCCACAGCGATGCTGCGGACGATAATCATTCACATCATACTACGCCGATGACGACATCCAGTACTCAAACTACAACGTGGCCTACGTGGACAGAGAGACCAAGCACTACGACTCAGCAGACGACCAGAACTACGTGGCCTACGTGGACCTCGAACACCCAGAAACCATCTAGCAAAATCCCGGAGGAAACGACGAAGCCTAGTTGGACGCAAGAACAAAGTACATCTAGTAGCACCACGAGCTGGTCATGGACTACATCAAGGTAAAGAGATCTTGGAGAAAATCTCTGCGTTTCTTAGACAATTCTCTCAATTTTACACACTTTCGTCTTCTTTTTCGGAGTCATTAAAAAAAGCCGGAAATAGATCGAAATACTTACTGTTTTTGCACACTGGAAAAATTTCGATATTTATAATATATCATAATTTTAATTGTGCTTAAGCTGTCACATTTTGCTATTAAAAAATTATTTTAACAGAGCACCTACTACACGGCCTACAACAACCACCACAACTACCACGCAGGAATCAATTATCACCACACCAGGAACGAATTGTATTGACGGCGAATACTATAGCGATCCTGCAAGCTGCAGCAATTATTACAGATGCGTTCGCGGCGAGTTGAAGCGCGAGCAGTGCGCGCCGGGATTGCACTGGGACGCGAAACGACATCTTTGCGATTGGCCATTGGCAGCGAAATGTGAAACAGTAACTGGTAAGGCTATTTACCAGATTCTCATTAGCCGGATATTTAATTTCTCTTTCTCTCTCTCTCTCTCTCTCTCTCTCT